ACCACAAAAACTTTCTCTTCTGTTTCTCAATCAGGGCTACAGACGTGCATGTTTCGGAAGAGACGCAAAGGGTCTCCTTCTACATTACTGTCAGCATGCCAGGTAATGCCAGCAATATTGTGCCCAAAGCTGACGTGGAAAGTGCCATCAGGTGAGACTTTGCTTTCTGGGAAAAAACAAATGAACAATAAAAAAAAACAAAGTACATGAAAGGATGGAAGGAAAAGCAGAGCTTAAGCCTGCTAAAACAGGAAGGGTAATAAGAAAGTCAGTTCTGCAGTTAAAATGGAAATACTAGGAGAGAAACGGTTATGATAGAAAGAAAACAGTCCATCTATCTGATGGTGTCTTGGACAGCAGCCAATGTAAAATGCTTCAGGGGGCTTGTAAAACTGTCATAACACACCTAATTGCATCATACTTTGCCAGGAAATATCATTGCTTCAACTTTAACGGGAACTATTCTATATTCTGAAATATGAGGCATGGTAATGGTGTGTACATGCACAAGAGCACATGTGTTTTCTTTCTCTCATTAGAGAAAATTCAGTGTGAGAATTATTGTTAGTGACAACTGCAGAATGATGCATTAGAAAGAAAGCCAGTTGTATTTGACTGTAGAGAAAAGGAGTCAGAGCAGGAGCTAATTCCCACTTATGGGTCAATGAACAGCTCTTTTATAGCACAGTATGAAACCACTGTCAGTTATTACTGTAAAAATGGTAAGTAAAACTGCAAGTCTGCAGATGGTCACGGATAATGTACACTGGGAAAAGAAGACGGCACAAATCTAAAAGTAGCAGCAACACAAGATGGGGCTGAGAAAGCAGTTAGAGAAAGCGGTGAACCAAGGGAGAGGTATGACTATGAAAATTGTTGTCCAGATCAAACTGACAGAAGCAGAGGTTCAGGGAAAACAAGACACAGAAAAGACAACAGGGAAAGTATTTTCAGGGCAGTAAAGAGCACAAATCAAGGTAGTGGAAGGCTGTAGGAGGGAAAGAGAATAAGGTAAAGCTGAGGTTTTCTGTCATATAACCAAGAAAATTATGGATAAAGAGAATAAGAGGCAAAGCACAAATAGAGAATGAGATCATAAGGCTGCTTGCCGCATTTTGATAAGCTTTTAAGACTGGGTTTAAGAGCTTAGACAGTGTCTGAACATGTTATTTAAGCTGCAACATGTTAAGGGCTTAAGTTATCATGTTTGTTACCTGCCACCCTGTGACTGAAGGAAGAAGGAATCTAAGTTTAGCAGTACCTCCTGTGCAGTCTGTTCAACCGAACAGTTCAGTGGGAACTTGGCATACTGGAGACTTATAAAGCAACTGAGAAATGTTTCTTTCTTTCCAATAAACATGTGAAACTTCTAATTTCCTCCTGATGGCAGCATGTCTCGGGGACGAATCAATGAGGCTTTCGGGCTGGATGATGACACGCTGGAGTTTGTGGGCATCATTCCAACCCTGGCTGCACCTTATGAACCACCAGTCACCATCTGGTTAATTATATTTGGAGTGGTCATTAGCCTGGTTGTCATTGGAGTTATTGTCTTGATCGTCAGCGGACAGAGAGATCGGAAAAAGTAAGTAGTATTTTTGACACAGTAATCATGACTAGTGGGAGAAGTCCCGATGGTTGGACTCATCAGGGTGCTTACAGATTGGCCACCAAATCTAACTGAAGCATATCAGGGAATTACTGCTTATCATCTCCCTCCCTTCAACAGTAGTGGCTAACGGTTCAGCTCCCTGCCTTTCAGTGCATGGCAGTTTTGGCAGCGTAGTGCAAGTTCATTTTCATCAGCAGTTCAGCTGAGGCAGCTGGACGGGCTGTGGCTGCAAAGAGCTGTGGCACGGCCAGGCTTCTGCCAGCCCTGCAGCAGGGCTGGTGGAGCAGCCTGTGTGTTGCGTGCTGCCTTCTTCAGCAGCAGAATTTGCCTGCACTCATCAGCACCTGCAGTCTTCACTGGTCTTGTTGGGGGTTGTCCAGGAATGCCATTTCTCTTAAATATTATTGCATTTTCACCAATTTGGTTGGGTTGTTCTTGTAAGTCTCTCCGATAATGGGATTTCTGAGAATGTAGTGGGCTTGCTGCTGTTCCCTTTAAAGCCAATGAAAAATTCCTTCTGGCACAAATTTTCCCAGTTGAGAACAATATTATTTGCAATTGCTTATTCTGAGGATCCAGAAGGACTTGAACAGAGCAGGGGCTTGTAATATAAAAATAATTTCTATTACAGGAAGGCAAAAGGAAGAGAGAGAGAAGCAGAATCAAACTGTGAAGTGAACCCTTATGATGATGATGGAAGAAGCAACAAGGGATTTGAACTATCTGACGAGACACAAACATCATTTTAGATGACATGGCACAATAAGGGTTTCTGTTTTTCGTTTGGTTAGTTTGGTTGGTGTCTTTTTTCTTCACTTGTAGCAGTGATGCCTAGCAAGGACCAAAATGCTATGGATGTCATCAGACACCATGACTTCTGGTAGACCCTGAATGTACTGGTTCCTAGACAACAGTAACTAATTCTGCCATACGTGTGGTAACTAAAAAAACATGCAAAAATGCAAGATGTGTATGTCCTGTGGCTTTTCTACAAATTGTGTGCATCATATTACACACTGTCTCTGCTGCTTTTCATAGGTGTGCTGCATCCAATTTGTCTTTGTTTCCTCTCTAAAGAGATATAAACTCTTGGAAGTATAGAGCTGTATACAGATCAAGGCAGACAAGAATAATTCATATACTTGTGATGCCCATAAGAAACATCCTGATCTTTCCGGATGGAGAACTCAAAAGTCTATCTCATAGACAATGCGAAAAAACAACTGTCCACTACAAGAATGTTTGTGACGAAATATTCAATTTGATATGAAATAAATGCATTTTTTGCACCTACAGGAAATCTGTATCATTGTAAAATGGTTACAGAATGAAAACTAACATGCACTGGAACTTAGAAAGCTGTAAGATAAGTTATTTTTCTAACTGGTTGTTGGATGTATTGTAGAGAACAATTAGCATGTGACCCCTCAAAACCAAAAACAAACAAACAAAAAAATAAAAATAAAAAATCCATGGTATGTTGTCATTTGAACATGAAATACATTTCATTAATACTAAATGATCAGTACTTCAGCCATTGCCTCCACTGTTGCAAATACTGCATATTACAAATACAAATTGCACTATTACCTAAATAATATTACTTACTATAATAAACATACTATATTTATTGTATTCTATACTATACTGTTATTCATACCATTGTGTAATTATTATTACAAATAATTATCTCACAGATATGGTCTTAAGCTCACAAGAAGAATTTACACTGCATATGCATGGGTGTATAAATTGCAGTCTGCAGGTCCATTTCTGACATAATTTTATTTCATAGTTTTGGGAGTTTATTTTCTTAAACCTGTGTGTGTGTGCATTGCAGGCATGCATTCATGTATGTAAACATGTATGAAAGTAACAGAAACCAGGCCAGGAGCTGTGCAGAAGATAAGAACTTCATTTCATGGAAGTTTCTACATTTCATCAGTTTCCACTGTTACAAGGCTTAGAGCTCTCAAAATGTATAACAAAAACCAATAAAATAGGACATCCTCTCCTTGCCATTATTAACTATATAGGGAACTTGGAAAATCCCTGTTTTCTGTATGCTTAAAGCTAGATAAGATGAATCCCCTGTAATATTTTATCAAGTGGTGTATCATGACCTTGTCAGTTGCCCTAGATTCTCCTTTTGATATCTTTGTACCCAGTACTGTTGTCCTGTATCTGTCTCTAGTCTTCACTTTCACCAGCTGATATATTTTATTCAGAATCTTAGACATGTAGCATGTACTTCACAAAACAATGTGTTGACTTTAAATACCAGCAGATTGCAAACAGGCAATCTCAGCACCTCTCTGCAATCATACATAAAATAAATGTTATTAGCATTAAATATAAAAGCTCCAAATTGTGGAAAAGCTAGGTTCAACATTAAACGACACCACAAAATTCTGAGAACCTATATACAGACTCTTTCTGTTATGTGGTGAGATCCTGAAAAAAAAGGCTACCCATTCTTCCCTCCTCTGCTATGCACTTTCAGTGGAAACCTGGGTGGAGTTTAGAAACCTGAGGATAGTGGCTAGTGCCACTTCAGATGCTCTAAGGTAAACTGCCTTGTATCCAGCCACCCTTGGAGCAGTGGCAGCAGAAGGAGTGGGTGTGTTGATACGACAGATACGGCAGAGCTTCTGTCTAGAGGGATGTGAATATACTTGGTGACTGGGCCAGCAGAAAGCTCATGAAAATGAAGAAGTGGAAGTGCAAAGTTCTGCACTTGTTGGTGAATAACCCTATGTATTGATGCAGGCTGGGAACTGAGTGACTGAGTAGCAGCCCTACCAAAAAGGAGCCGAGAGCTGTGAACGACACCAGGTTGAACATGAGCCAACAGTGTGTGGCTGCTGTGAATGAAGGAAATTGCAGACTGGAATTCATTAGGAGGAGCATGACCAGCTTGTCAAGGGAAGTCATTATTTTCCTCCGTGTAGTGGTTTAACCCGGCCGGCAGCTAAACACCACACAGCCGTTTGCTCACCCTCCCTCCTCCCTCTCTGGGATGGGGGAGAGAAACAGGAAAGTAAAGCCCATGGGTTGAGATAAAAACAGTTTATTAAGACAGGAAAATGATAATAACAATAATAATAATAACAACAACGATGATAATAGTACTACTACTACTAATGTGTACAAACAAGTGATGCACAATGCAATTGCTCACCACCCGCTGACCGATGCCCAGCCTAACCCCTCACCCAGTCCGGACCCCTCCTCCTGGCTAGCCACCCCTATATATTGTTTAGCATGACACCAGATGGGATGGAATACCCCTTTGGCTAGTTTGGGTCACCCGTCCTGGGTCTGTCCCCTCCCAGCTCCTGCTGCACCCCCAGCCTGCCCGTTGGCAGGACAGAGCAAGAAGCTGAGACATCCTTGGGGTGTAAACACAGCTCTGCAACAACTAAAACATCGGGGTGTTATCAGCACTCTTCTCATCCTAAGCCAAAACATAGCATTCTACCAGCTACTAGGAAGAAAATTAGCTTTGTCCTAACTGAAATCAACACACTCTGTTTTCCACCAGTGAGACAACTCTGCAATAACTTTTTGGTGGCTCCTGGTTCAAGAGGGACGTGGAGAAACCAGAGATCTTTTATAGAGGGCTCCCACGGATAAAGGGCCTACAGTACATGTCCGATGAAGAGAGGCTGAGGTGGCAGGCCTTGCTGAGTAAGGCAAAGAAGAAGCTACAGAGAAACCTCGTAACTGCCTACAGCTACTCGTTTGCTCAGTCCTCTGTAGAGTCAGGGTGTATATGTATAACGGGGCAGCAGGCTGAGGCTTAGGGTGTTCAGTATGCACCTGGAAAGGAAAAGCTGTTCATGAGGAAGGTAGTACAGCGCTGGGACAGGCTGCCTATCCCACACTATGAAGGCCTGTGGGATCACCTTCCTGGAAAGCGTTCAGGGGTCAGGTAGATAAAGATACGTTGGCACAGTCCTTGGGAAAGTCCCGGTCTGTGTGTGAAGTTCGGTAGATGACCTCTAGAGGTCCCTTCAGCCAACATTTCCACGATTCTGTCCCTTGTAGGTCTTTACTGATCTAAGAGACAAAAACCAACTAAAGACAATTCAAAATGGTAGACAAATGATACTGGTTAGCTGCAAACTACACAGGAATGTAAAGCAATGGAAACATTTTATTTTCTTTGAGTTGTCTATACCACATATCTCATTGCCATAATATCCCTAAACCTTAGTACTTTAGCTGAACTTTAAGATAAATAATTCAACTATATGTAGTTTTCTCACTTACAGTGCAGCAACAGAAATGGGGAATGACAAATCTGAAAAAAATTAAATAATGTAATTAGACATGCCAGCCATCTTCGGATCTGTTGTTAAGATTAACATTTCCATTAAGACAAAGCTTTCATTTCAAAGCAATTAATTTTAAAAGCTGTGCTATAAATCAAAAGACCACAATTCAGAATTGTTAATATATAAAACCACTAAAAAATATAGCAGGATGTTGGAAGGACAGAAATAAAAAGACAACGTTTATATTAAAAAACCATCCCCGTACATCAGCCCCAATGTCATTTCCTCACCCTGCCTGTCCTTGGGGCCCACCCTTCACTCATATGCTGTCCTTTAAACGGGTCTGCACCTCTTCCTTGAGGCACAGGCAATGTCATTCCATGCCCAGCCTCTCTCTCAGACCATACAAGCCTCCCATGACCCCCCATAAGCTATGTGTAGTCACACACGTAATTATTTTCATGGTCCCAGATGCTATTTCCCCAGAAAGACACACTGCTCCCATTGTAGACAGGCATGTGCTCTGCAAGGGAGCTTTCAGTGGAGGGACTAGGCAACAACAAGAAGCACAGGCACCAGAGCCCCAGACTGGCCCTGGGTCTTCATTTCTTTCTCCCCACTCCTCACATGTCTGCACCCTGCATTTCTTACTCCTTAGGCTCAGTTTAGGCTCAGCACCTCTGGACAGGTGCTGGCCCCAGCTCAGACTTGAGCTGCAGAGGCGTCCCCATTAAGGCTGGGACAGCTCCACCAGGGCAGCTGGTAGGCAGCAATTGCTCCAGCTCCTAGAGGGGACTCACAAAGACTTAGCTCAACTCTAAGGAGACAGGAGATGATATATATATATATATATATATATATATATAATATATATATATATATAAAAAAATATATATATATATATTTTTTTTTTTCTTCCAGAAATTGCTTTATTTTATAACCCCTTCTTTTCATATACATTAGATCAGCATTTTACAAATGTCAGTGTCTAAGTTTAGACTACTCTGTTATGGTTAAGTAACTTCAGACATATTTGGTATCTCTAGACAGAATGAAGTTAGTGTTAATTAGCATAGTGCTATGAGCAATTGAAAGTTGGGAGTTCTTATTTAAGAACTCAGTGTTAACATTAGGAACCAAATTTCATCTCATCACTAGTAAAATAGCTGGCTAAGCAATTATATTAATGACATTTTCAGTTCTAAAATTTTGGCTTCTCAGGTTGTATAGAGATCAGCATAATTTACCACCTACTATTGTAATGGCTACAAAATTCTGCAAAAACATTTTTTTTTCCATTTTCTAAGTGCAGCAGGAAGCAATAACACTCCAGAAAAACTCCTCATATGTAGCTAAGCTGCAGATATCTTAGATACATAGTTTAGAATAAATTCCAAATCAAACACATACCCTGAGGGCCAAAATTAAAATCAATACTACTGGTAAACAAACTGATATAACAGAAATTTCTAAGTAATTGAAAGCGAGGCTATAACTTCTTATGTTACTGTTACTTGCAGCAGTTCTAAATTTGACCTCAGGCATCAGCTTCAAGGGATTACAAAGAAAAAAATACATTCAGATGAGTTATGATAATCAGAAAACCTAACAAGCATGAATTTCCCTATTTACATTTCCAGTTAAGGCCAAACAATGACAGCTTGGAAGCAAGGAAGGTGTATACACAGTTGCTGTATGGCTCAGTGTCTGCGAAGTCCTTTGAGACAATGCTAACAGAATGAATTATATTCTTCCACAGCATCCTTCCAGATTCTATCACCTGCAGCATATCATAAAAGCTTTCTCCATACACTTCTTGGTCAGCTCCCTGATTAAGTCAGAAAAAGACTAATATACAGAATAATAGAGATGGTTAATGTCAGGAAGAGTTCATATTTAATTCTCTCACAGAAGACAGTTGATATGAAACCAGTATGCACAGTCATCAGTCTATGAATCTTCTTTTTCAAGCCCTGCTGTCTTCTCTCAGTGCCTCAAAAAATGATAGAAGCTGAAAAAAGGCAGGACGCTTTTCTGGTAGCTGAATGAAGCAAAGATGATAGATACAGTTATTTACTTTTGAAATCATTCAAGAACTGCAGTCTGCATTTTTTTTCCTTGACTTTAGCATGAAGAAAACAGAGAGACAATGATGTTTAAAGGGTAAAGAAAATTAAAGTTATTTTGTATATTTTCCTTATATTGTGGTGGTTAATATTCTTCCTTTCCATTAACATGTCCTACAGTAAGTTTTTCTTTTTTTTTTCTTTCTTTCTTTCTTTTTTTTTTTTTTTTTTTTTTTTTTTTTTCTGTCAGTTATATTTAAAAAACTATCATCACTGTCATTTCGTGGTATCACCAACAATATGCCAAATGGTCCTTTTTTGCTGGTGATAAACAAGTCATGGTTCATAGAGAACAGACTAAAATTTAGTTGAGGAGGAAAAATAAATCAGGATTAATTCTTGGCACAGCAGACACAAATCTTTAAAAATAATACAAGCGTGTTCAGCATTTGATTCACAACTCATAGAAGAATCACAGATGGGATAACACAACCTTCCCATAAAAATAACCCCAGTGGGGTTGCACAGCTTTAGTGATCTAAAAATGTAGAGATCTATCTAAATTATTTAAGGCACATGTATATGAATAGAGACAAGTTAATTCTATAATGGCTAAGATAGAAAGGACAAATGACCATAGGGAGGTATAGCAGTAGTGGTCCTGTAATCATGGAAAGAATTTAGACAATTACCTTGGATCAGGACTCAAATTTTAGAACAGTAAAATTAGGTGAGAATAAACTCACCCTGCATATTATGTTGACAATCAAGCATATTTTAATGTTATTTACTTAAATTTGTGGTTCTGAGGAGAATCTTCTTTTATGTCCTATTTCTTGTGCTTTCTCCTCTTATTGCTAACAAAGTCCTGAACTAGACTGTTATATGCAATGTACTACATACAAAGCAAGGCTTTTATAAGAGAATTTACCATTTTGAACATTAATTCAGCTGTGAATCCCAGTAACTCCTACTAATTTTTTTTTCCGCAGTTAATATATGCAGTTATACATACCTCATGCCAGCAGTTGTACATTATCTGGTAGGTGATGTCTGAAACCAGTTGTGGTCTATAAAGTCTGTATCCCTGCGAAACTTTCTCAATCACCTGCATGTTATCATACAGCTCGTAGGGCTGCTTTCCCAAAGTGAACACCTCCCACATTAAGATACCTGCCGAAATATTCACAGCAATGGAAGACAAGAAATGAAAGTCAAGAAAGGCAAGGAAATCCTTTCCCAGAACAAGATGCACACGGAATGTGTAACCAACTCCACTTATTCATATTAATTAATTCATAAATTAATTCATAAAAACAGCCAGCTGTGTTAGAACTATTTTGTTGTAACTAAACATGTGATACAAACAGTAAAGTAAAAGAAAAAAAAGTACAATTTTTATTTTATTCACAATATTTATTATTAAGACTGACAGTAAAGATTTTTTTTTCCACTGAGAAATTTATTGGATTTTCAACTTCTCTCCAGCTTGACGACTCAAGCATTGTAGTGTCACAGTGAGATCAGAATAAAATTGTATCTGAATTCCAGCTTTCCCTGATGAAAGCATTAAGTATCCAAGATTATTTGTTCTCAGACATCTACTTTTGGGATATGAATGCCAAATGTTCAGTTCTTTAGCCCTTCAAAGATACATGAATTTAAAACAACTAAACAAGAACTGATGGATTCAGCTCTTCCTTTGCTTCCACTGCATCAATGGATAGTGGTAAAATGAGAAAACACCTTCTAAGGAAAAATAGTGTTTCCCATTGAAGTTAGTGCTGGTATTGAAGTTAATGACAATAATGCCTGGAGTCAGGATTTCATCCATCAGAACAAAAAGAAAATTTATCACCAGAAAATCCAACTTCTGATTGAATTGTATATGTTATAAAAAAGCTTGTAAAGGTCATTAACAATATTGGGAGACTAGCTGAAGTAAAAGATAAGAAGAAACACTGCATTTGGAAACACTTTCATCTGCTTTATTCACCATTGTTCAATGTCAAGAAGAGTGGGTTGCCAATCTTTCACCAATTTGACAGCTGCTAAAATTTTCTTACTGCAGGAGCAAACCCCTGTAAGTGGAATTTAAGTCTATTCACAAGAGGCTGCCCTTTCTTTGCTACCTTTTGCAGACTTTTAGAAACACTGAACAGACTCCAGGGATTTTAAAATAATAGCTTGAGAACCACTGAAGTAGAAGTTCAAATGTTTTAAATTCATGGGTAGAAGGTGGTCTGCAAATGCATCTTATTCTTTGCCAAGATGCAGAGTCTCCATTAGCACAGTTTCTCTGCCACAGCTGGCTCATGCAAAGTGTCTGTTCTGACCTCTGTGACTAATAGAAAAACTCTTTTGAGTTGGGCAGCGCAGATTTATGGTCTACAGCCAAAGATACTGTTTGATCTCCACTGCCAACAGTTCCCTTTGTTGCATCCTATTAAACACATACAAAGCAACTGGGGAGTGGACAAGGTTTCTATGTGACTATAAGAAAAACAGTCGGGCTAAAAATCCAGAGTATAGGTTTTGATGCATATAATTAATAAACAAGCTGTAACTTCTTTTTACATTCTTTCAGTGTGCAAATGTCTAGTATTTTCATGTGGTATGCTAAGGAAAGCCAAACATGATTGCATATATGCATACATATTTATATGTCAAATTCCATACTTACCGAAGGCCCATACATCTGACTTGCTGCTAAATTTGGTGTAATTAAAAACTTCTGGTGCTGACCACTTCACTGGAAACTTGGTTCCTAGTGAGCTTACATACAGATCATCCAGAACATACCTACAATGCAAGAAACAAACTTGGTTGTGACTGAGTTATAGAATCATAGAGTCACAGAATGGTTCGGGTTGGAAAAGACCATCTAATTCCAACCCCCTGCCATAGGCAGAGACACCTTCCACAAGACCAGGCTTCTCAGTTGCAGTAAAATACTGCTTACTCTTTTTTCCTTGCATATCAGAGGGTTCCTAGGAACAGCCTGGACAGAATTCCAAATTTCCAAAGGATACCTGGTATCTATAATTGATAGACCAGGTCCTTGTTATCAGCTTATTAGATAAATAATGCAGAATCAAAGATGAATGTTGTCAGGCCATCTTGTCCATTCTCCTGCTCAAATGTGATTATTCCCAACACCAAATCAGGTCAGCTATGGCTCTATGTAGCCAAGTCTTAAAAGCCTCCAGAAATGGCAATTCCACAGTGTCCCCAGCTAACAAAGTTAAACTAAGTTGCCTGTAGCACTACCTCCTTGTGAAAAGCTTCTTGTTGTCCAAACCTGAACTTCCGGAGCTGCATTATGTGACCAGTGTTTGTGGTTATATCACCTGGCACTGCTGAGACAAATTTGGCACCATCAGTTTTATAACTGTAAGTAGCCATAAGCAGCTTTCAGGTTTCCTCTTAGCCTCCCCCTCTTCACCAGACTAAGCAGCCCATGCTCCCTCAGCTATCCTCAGAGAAGGTGTACTCCAGGATGCACATCCTCTCCCACTTCTCTCCACTGAGGCCACTGATGGAGATGTTTAGCCCCCAAATTAGTTGCATATCCTCTACACAAAGCAATCTATGAGATTTCCTTAATAAGCATTAGTTGTGAAATCACTCAGCTGCATCTGGGCTTTAAGCAATAACTTTTTGAGACAGCAAACTATCTTTATTCTAACCTCATGATGGTTTATGGTCATTAATGGATAGAAGACACAAAGAGCTGTAACATGTTGTGGCTTAACCTTACCAATAGCCAGGAGTTAGCTAAACAATGCCAGTAAATTATAGCTACCCTAACATCATAGCTTCACAAAGCTCCCAGTTCTTTTACTTACCTTGTCATCCCGAAGTCAGATACTTTCACAGTAAGATTGCTGTCAACCAAACAGTTTCTAGCAGCCTTTAGTAGAAAGGTGAGAAAATAGATGAGTAGAAGAAGACCAAAGAGAAGCAAATAACATCTTGGTGGTTTGCTATCATTTATGATGTATCATCATTTCTGTCCACTAGCATTTCAAGAAATAATTATATTCTTTGATTGAAGCAATGAAGTTGGGAACTGTAAGATAGTGGTAAGTAGCTCTTATCATTATCTCAGCTGTAATAATGACATTGGGGGATGAGAATCCCACATTTGCTTGGAAAGACAGCAACAGAGCTAGAAACTAAACCCTGTCTTTAGAATTGCATCATGCTCCAGGGTCTTTTTGTGTAGTCTCAGAATGTATCAAGGCATTAAAAGCAGGAAAGAAAACATTGATTTGATTATTCACATTGCATTAGAAACAGAGTGGAACAATAAAAGATGATATAAACAGTCTGTTTTATGAAAAGTTCAGCATGAACCTAGTTCTACAAATGATCACTAGAGAACACTTATCTGAGGCTGTATTCTCTGCCTGTATGCTCATTAATTTTTGTGATGTAGTTTGAATCTACAGTCCTCAACCTGAAATGAAGCTCAAAATTTATTCCTGTTTTCCCATGGTGTAAAGCCAGTTTTCAGAATCTGACTTTGTATTTATAACTTGAGTTCTGCTACCTAAGCTTTCTGACATTCCTGATTTCTGAATCAGGTGTGAAAATTAGTAAGCTATAGATTTAACAACTTGGTTTACAAATAGACACAAATCTTTGAAAACATCAGCAATGCAGCATTTAAAATGCTACCTGAGGAGATGGCATCCCTACTGGAAAGTTAAGCAAGACTATAACAAATATTGTCACAAATATTCCACCATATTTTTGTCTGGATTAAAATGTAAAACATTGCTATTGACTCTGAAGCACAATATACCAGAAATTTGGAAAGGCTCACTTTTAACAGGCCCATAAAATAACCACTTATTTCCCCAAAGACTTATACTACCATTCTTGATAGCTAAGTTTTGCAGCAACTTGAAAAAATTGATTGAAGGCAGTGGCAGAGAAATGTATTTAAGGGAGAGGGCAACTGCAGACTTTCAGGTTCTGTTCCTGCTTGCAATGCACCAGAGTAAATTCCCATTTATCCTAGTAGTGGTCACACTTGTTTTATAAGAGAAAAAGTTTCCAATTAAACAAATCCTTGACTCATTAACATGTGACCCACATCTTTAATGCTGCACCTCTTTCTCCTGGAGGACTAAATTATCACTGGACAGACCTCTTTGCTTTATTAATGTTATAATTGGATATCTCTGCTGCCAAGTGGTGCATAAACCCCTGAGGCCAGCACCCATAAATGTGGGCAGCACGGTATGCAGTGCTGTAGACTTGCCAGCTCAGCTCTGAAACAGAGCAAGTCAGCTTGTTTACATGGGCCTTTAGTGCCCCTAGGCCAGAGCTGGTTTGTACACCAGCTGTGTGTCTCTAACCTGCAGACTATGATGCTTTTTTGGGTGAAGGCCTACAGAGCCAGAGCAGCTGTGGCTGAACCTAACGGCAGAACTGCCTCTGCCTATCCTGTTCCAGTTATACTGTCCGATAGCTTACCAAGTCTCTGTGTATGAACTGACAGCTCTCCAGAAACGCCATAGCATCACAAACGTCATAACATATTTCCAGAAGCTGAAGGGGTTGCAGCTCCTTCCCATGACTGTGTAAGTAGCTAAGCAAACTGCCATTTGACATATATTCCATCACTATATAGATGGGATACAGTTTTGAGCATACACCATACAGTCTAACAAGTTTGGGATGATTAAGTTTCCTGAAACAAATAAAAATATAATAGTTAAAGAATAAATAGCTATGATTGTTCATTTCTGTAAGTTTTGTCCTTCAAATATTAATGTAGCATACTCTGAGACATTCGTGAGACTGGATACAGTCCTATCACAGGCAGTAAATTATTCCTTTTTAAGAAGTACTGAGACACCTTCTGCTCATTACTGGGAGACTCAGTATTGATGGGAACCAAAAAAAGACTCAGTATTGATGAAATGACAACTTCATAGTCGAAATCTGAAATAAGATTAAGCAGTGCAAATGTGCAGCCTTATTAGTGGAAGAAAATAGAAATGAGCAGGTATGGTGGGTCTTTTACCTTAAAATTTTCTACTAAAATCATGCTGCAAAATTCTGATTGTATCAGCTAGTTGGCTGCCTGAAATGTAGTGCATACATTTAAAATATAACAGAAATATTCTTGAATTCATGTGCCTCGGTTATCATTTCATGGAATTTCATTGGACATTCTAACATGATTGCCTCTTTGGAGTCAGACTAAAGCTGCAAGTCACATGTTCATATTGATGGCATTTTCCTGTTATTCATCTCATTCCTACCTGCAGGATGGCAGGAACATCTTTCTAACCATTTCAGTAAAAATGCTAATGAAGCATAGTTTTAAGTGATGTATGTGGAACCTCTAACTTGTAGAAGAGATGTTAATTGAAAACTTTTTTGTAGATGACCCTATCAATCTCTGTGTTGTTCTTTTGGTAATATTACATGACTACATATTTAGCCTGTGCCTAATGTACCCAACACTATTTAATGATATTTTTAAGAGGAAAATATTTTTTCTGTGTCTGCTATGTATTACTGATTAATGAATGGAGAGATCATTGCTTCCAAATAATTAAGCAATGTCACAGCTTACATCATGGTCTGAGCTTCTTCTGTGAATTCATCTTCTGACATTGCTCCCTCTTTAACCATCTTTATGGCCACATCATATTGTCCCTTCCACTTTCCCAGATGCACCTCTCCAAACTGACCACTTCCTAGCTCTCTCAACAGGACAATTTCTTCTCGCTTCAGCTCCCATACTCCTAGTGGGACAAAAGAAATTCCCTTTAGCAAAAAAATGGGCAAATGAGGGCATGGCATCTACCACATGCAATGGCTTTTTTTTCTCTGAAGGGTTGTAGAACAACACTGCACTGAGGCAACATACCTTTTTCTCATCTAAGCTTTGTGTTTGAGTTATAGAAGGACACTACCATTCCTGAAAGTGTTGTTCGCTACTACCTGGATTTTTGCCTTATAAACAGATTTGAGGAAGTTTTAAGTATCAAATGACGATATATATTTATGTAGGGGATTAGAAAACAAGTATTACTGTGCCAGGCAATGTGGCAGAGGGAAGAAATGGCATTGACTCAGATATGCTGGGGAAGAAAGCACACAAAGCCTTTCACGGTTGATACAAAATTTGACTTAGGGTCCCTTAAAAAGGCATAACATAAAAGTTGACATAAAACACCTTTGCATTCACCTTGCCCTGGACATAAACAAGACACACATGAAGGAAGGGATACCCTATTTCATAGAACCATAGAGTCTCAGTGCTGTTCTGGACAACAGGAAGCTATGGAAGGGGCTGGATGACTGAAAGACCATCTTTCCCAAATTCTCACAGGGTAGGAGGCTCTGCATTGTCTGCATGGACAAACTGAAAGGGCAACCAAACAGTGAGCTCAAGGATTCTGCAACCTCTTACAAGCCTGAACATAGTAAGGGTCACAATTTTCTGGTTATTAATTTCTTGGTGGCCAAGACTGACACCAGATTCAAAAATGAAAGTTATCTTCCTACCATTTCCCAGTGAAGCTGTGTCTGGGACTTTATTTACTTGCATAGATACTGCATGCCGTAGCCTTGTCACGATACCTACAAAGAAAACCTCTTAAAGTTGACAATACATAAATGACTTCTCTGAATCAAAGAAAATAAAGGGGAATTAACACAAACACGCACACACCATATTACAACCATCCAGGTAATGACAGAGGACAATGTTTAGCAGATGCTTCACTTCACAAGACTGAGTATTTTCTGTGCTTAAATGCTATTCCAGCAGAGGTATTGCAAGAAGAGGTATTACAATACCCAAAAGCACTCTACAGAAAAGCAAAGCAACTATTTTGATTGTGAACATGGTAGATCAAGTTCCACCTAAATTCTCCCAAAAGATGTTTTGATATTTAGAAGATTCAGTATTGAAAGTGATTCATGATAACTCTGAGAAGCCCAGAAGCCTAAGCCAAAACCAATCAAATAGAAAGAGCACACGGGATTACCTGCTGAGTTGTGCTGGTGATAGTGTATAAGTATGGGAATTGATTCAAAACAGTAATTTTCAGCGAGGTAATACTTGTTCTGAGGGGTTTTGTGCACATGGTAATGTTTGACTGTTCCTTTTTTACTTCTGAAAAACACAACAAAGTGCTGTGTATGTTTGAGTGTTACAAAGTGCCTTCCAGACCATGCATGAATAGATTAATTAGTTGCTGAATGAACTGCAACACCCTTCCCTTCCCTTCCCTTCCCTTCCCTTCCCTTCCCTTCCCTTCCCTTCCCTTCCCTTCCCTTCCCTTCCCTTCCCTTCCCTTCCCTTCCCTTCCCTTCCCTTCCCTTCCCTTCCCTTCCCTTCCCTTCCCTTCCCTTCCCTTCCCTTCCCTTCCCTTCCCTTCCCTTCCCTTCCCTTCCCTTCCCTTCCCTTCCCTTCCCTTCCCTTCCCTTCCCTTCCCTTCCCTTCCCTTCCCTTCCTTCCCTTCCCTTCCCTTCCTTCCCTTCCCTTCCCTTCCCTTCCCTTCCCTTCCCTTCCCTTCCCCACATTGCTGCAGAGATTTTGTTCATGACCAGTCACACCAAGTAGCATGTCCATAGCATGCTCACAGAAATGATATACATTCTTTGGATACTCACTCTTGAAACTTGCTGAATACAGACACAGTAAATGTTCCTGCCTGGCTAGAAGATTTCCGCACCAAAAAAGCACCTTCTTTTCCCTAATTATTAAAATAATAATAATAATACAAGAAACACTGAAGTTGGGATTCACCCCAGTGAACTTTAGATTTCTATACTATAATGTCCACAAAGGAGAGGAGACGTGACTCATATGACATCCTTTAAGTAGTAAATTAGGACAAGATAAATTATGTCTTAGAAATACTTATTTCTCTCCACTAAAAAGGGTATCTAGGTAACTGGTTGTGGTATCCCACTGTAGATGTTTAAAACTAGGTGAGTTGTGCCTCAGTCCAGACATGAAGCAAGTATTGTGCCATTTTTGTGTGGTGCATAGATACAGATTTATTGCAGGGGAGATTTAGCAGCTACACCTCTGATGTGCTAGAAATGGCTAGTACAGGGATGAAAGAAGACATCCAGAACTTCACATAGAGGCCAAACTTCATTGTTGTGAAGTTCAGACTGAGACATAGACCCTTTTCTGATTTGCCACACTTGAACTTCATTCCTGAACCAGTGGCACAGGTCTAAGGGAAAGGACATTGAGACAAGGCTCACAAAGATTTGGGTTTTCTCAAAGCAGTTAGTGGCTGAGTGCCAATTTCTGAAGCTGTGAGAAAGCAACCAGCTGCCAAGGGAAAAGACAATAACTCGTTTACACTGGACACCTAAGCCTAAAGCACAGCTGAGGCTAGATCTCCTGCAGAAAGGTGCACAGATAAATCCTTCTGCAGTTGTCTTTTGTGATGGCTGGTACACCTGAGCCACCCCGCAGTTCTAGTCTTTGCTCTCAATCTGCAGGCATAGCACTGTTTTGCTCAAGTTTCCCTGCTCGTCTGGGTGAAGTTTTACTTCATATCCACATGTTATAAAACTAGCACAAAGAACTCCTCTAGACTGATCTGCAGGAAGAGCCACGCTGGAGCAAACAGAGGCTTAAAGCTAAAACCAATACGCAGAGCCATGGGGGGAAAGGTACATGTTATGGCTTTGCTCCAGGCCTATTTTTGAAGTGTATCATTTGTTTGTCTGTGTAAGAGCCATCAACACATCTGGACATTATTTTAGAGATCTGTTTATCGGCACCAAATTAGCACAAGAGTTTCCAGCACTGTGCAATATGACAGCTATTTGAAGAGCATCAGCATCCTCTAGCTACACAGTATAGCAAAGACAACTGGCACACAAACATTTACACAGTTATTCATATACAAGCAATAAAAGATATGCAGGACCTTCTGACGGAGCAGCTGCTCAGCCTGGGCACGGGAGATACCATCAGCATACCAACTGCAAGGAGAAATATGGGGCTTGTTATTGATAGGCTGATTTCTAGACAAGGCACAACAGATTCATGAAAAATGCCATACACTGTAAATATTTTCAAAACTGCTTTGAAAAGCCAGAAATTAGACTTGTTACGCATTTGTGATTTTGGGCCATGATAAGAAGGAAACCACTAGTTCCCATGTGCTTCTGACGTGTCTCTTCATTCTGAAATATCAGGGCCTACTCTGTGACTTCAACTTTTTACAGTAACTTTTTACAGGGTTGGAGAATAACTCCTAACACCTTACTAGTGTAGGAGACTAATTTGTCTAAATGTCAAAGCTTTTTTTTTTTTTTTTTTTTTTTTTTTTTTTTTTTCCAAAACCAAATACATTCCTTCTTTTGGAAGCCTGTGGGTAGTGATGCTGATGATGACCTCAAAGCTGCTGACAATATACATAGTTATTACCATTAATATAACATCAATGTATAGAATTCCATTGTTCTAGGAAGTTGCATAAAGTGGAATGGCTGTGGAATAAAGTGGAGTGGCCCAAAGAATTTTTCAGTTCTCACGAAGACATATCCTACATACTCACTCGTGCTGTGCAATACTCTGCTCTTCTGATGCTGTGTGCTCATTGACACTTGAGTTTTCCCTACAAAGACAAAATAATATACTGAAATTGTGAAAAAATAGTTATGGAAATTGCTTTCCTCAGGTCATACTATATATTTTTTGAGCAATTGCTGCTATTATGCCATGGTCTATAGTGAACATTTAAAATGTTGAGACATACTTTATTTTTTTTTTTTTTCCTGACTTGGCAAACACTTACATGGCCTTTCCTCTCCACTATGCAATGTATTGGAAAGACAAATCTGCTCTGTGCATGTTGTAGCAGGCAATGAGACTATATATGCCTTCACTGACCTCATGAAGAGATTGCATCTACCGTTTCAAAATTTGCATGGATGATTTCCAAACCTGTACAATGATATACTTCCCAAATAAATATTCTTAGCATGACAGACAATAGATAGAGTTCATGTGACAGAAAAAGATACCCCTAAAATAATCTTTTGTGCAAAAATAATAGTGATTCTAATTAATTCTGGATTTTTACACGTTATTATTATAGTGATTGCATTTTGTTGTTGTTGTTGTTTGTTTGTTTTAAAAATAGGAAACCTTTGAATCTTATCCAGTATGGTTTACTATGAGAAAATCTTCTAAGCTTCTGTAAGATTTTCATTCAAACACTTTGGCATATGCTTAGTACTTACAATGTCATATCACCTTACTAAAAATTCAGATCTGATATATCACTTTGACAGACTGAGACTCACTTTACCCTGTACTGGAATGCTCACTTATTGCATGAGATGCATGAGAGTGCTAGCAAGGGTGACATTTTAATGCTGAAATAAGACAACAAAGACTGAAATCCCAGCACATTGAAGACAGTGGCCAAACCCTCCTGATTTAAATGAAACCAGGATTTTCAACTGATGTTTTTTGTATTAATGTATGAGTCAAGAAGACAAATTGTACTTGATTCTACGCCTTGCAGTAAATGTTATGGTTAGTACTCAGAAAGTTACTTAAGAAGAAAAATATTCCAAAAATGTTGCCTGATCCTTTCTAGAGTGGTGAGGAGAACATTTAAGCAGTGGATGGCTGCATATTGATTCACCTTGGCTCATCATCATTCAGGGATAACTTTCTCAGGTAAGTGCTCGGTACAAAACCTTCATTCCTGCAAAATAAACAGTTCACAGTTCAGCTATCATACATGATTGCTTCTTAAAATTGGTCACTTAAAATAGGAAAAGGGATTAATCAGACAGTCGCTTTCTAGAATGCCACTAACAGAAATGCTCATGGTTAAAACATTTATGCTTTTTACATGATATGGAGGAAAATGCAGAGGTAATTTTGCTTTAGGAGGCTACATTTCAATGAGTTATTCTTTTTGCTAGTCACTGAAAAGGCTTCTTCCTCAGTGATTGGCTTCATCATATGGAAGACTGAAGCAACTGTTCAACAATATCATTACATGCCATCTTGGTTGCTGTGATGAAAGATGCCAGTGACTAATGGGTGCCAGCAGAGTATCCAAGGTCAAACACAGACAGTCAATAGGTAGGCTCAGAACTCTTCCCCACACAATGTCAGATGCAATTGAGAAGCTAAGCTAAGGGAATATGGACAGCTGAGCTACCACTTAAAGCAGCAGGCAGCATGACATGCTGAACTAAGTTATGGGGACCTGTAGTCATCCATAGAGTGGTAAGAGGGTGGACTGTATGCTGCACCCATCAGAAAAATAAATAAGGGGAATTAATATACATTTGAATATGGATGGAGACAGAAGAGAAGGGTTTCTCCACCATGGATCTCAATAGAACAAGAAGAAATCTGAGAGGGTACGGAATCTGAAACAGGTAACTGCCATCTGTTTGTTTCTACTACATCTGAAACACCAAGATTGTCAGTATTTCCAAGCAGAACTCTAAGGTTTTGTTATGATATAAATGGACAGGGTTTGTCCTTGCAGAATCAATACTGCAAAAGTCTCAGTTTCTCAAGCCAAAGAAAAATGTATGTCTATAAATATACATGTCTATAACTTTAAATGTCCTCCTTTCTCTTGATTTCTTTCTGCTCTTTCACTCATCTCAGAACACTTTGTTCAGCCTCCATAAGCAAAGCTGCCTGTATTGTACACTTTTACATAGCCATCATCATCATCATTCCAGTGATGGCCTTTAAAAGCATGTCTCAGATTACTCAGTTATTATTGCCTTAGAGTTGCCAGAGTTGTGTGCTGCTTTCTTCATCCAGAGCAGTATGCCAGTCCTGTGATTTTAATTTAATGTTGATTTATTTGTTTGCTTACTTGCAGATGTAAACTTAATCAATGAATTATGAGTGGATCAAGTCATTTCATTTTCTTCCAAACCAGATTGGAAATCCCCTAGCTCAAAAATTCTTCTCTCCCACATTTCTAACATGTACATAAAGTCAAACCCAGCTAGTATCTATCATGAGACAGACAAGGAATCATATCTCTTCCAGGCAGCCTCTGTTTTCTGTACTGCCTTTGTCTCCAGTGTACTCTGAAAGCTGTTTCTTATTTATTGACTTGGGAAGAGGTTCTCTTTTCTATACCAGCTGGATATTAATGAAAAATGTCTTATTTTAAGTAGTTGAAGGGGATTCCTCCACTTGTGAACCACAAAGGGAATAATTTAATGCTTCTGTCCTCTGCAGGATGGGGGTGCTCTGTCTCTTTGGGAAAGTATTCCTAAAGCTGGTGAGAGACTGAAGTGAGAAATTATTCCTGCTGCAGCAGTTCCCACTGGTCTCCTGTGTTCTGACTGCTATTACAATAGTGACGGTGTTGGTCTAAGGTTGATTTCTACATACTCAAGAGGCAAAGGTTGTGAGCAGAGATTTTATCTTTTATTCACTGAAACTAAAATGGACAGCTTCAGAATGCACAAGCCCTTCTTCAGGCACATATCAGAATTAATGCCAGTATAGTAAGGCTACTATTTTAGCTGGTATACAGGCAGTGATTACTGTGAATTGCACCTAGTCTGGCAGCCAAGGATGTTAATGAAAGTGGCGTTGCACACGAGAAAATGAGGCTTCTCCAAAAAGGTTTAGTAGCTACTAACATAGTTAAAACCTAAGGCTAATTTTAAAGATCCTGTAAGGTACCAGGACTGCCTGAAGTGTTGCCAATGAAGATAAGGTATGTGGAAGATCACGATCATGAAAAAGAAGTATTCTGCAGTGCATACTTACCCTTCCAAATCTCTCACTTTCCACCAGGCAAAATCTTCCTCTTGCAATACATGATATTTATTGCATTTGACAAGCCGGATAGCTGAATCTCCTAAGGGTTCGTAGTTGCATTGGGCCACAGCCATATTCAGGTCTGACTTACTTGGTGATAGTACTTGAGGCAGGCTTCTACGTCTCAACTTTGAAGACAGAGGAAATAAAATGACAAGCAGATGCATCACAGGGTACAGTAAGAAATACCACACAGTGTGTACACTATTGCTTCTATCTTCAACATGTACAATGATATTAAGCAAATTAATCAGAGCTAATAATGTCAGTACAGGCAAGCACCTTGTCCTTCATTCATGTAGAAGAACATTTTAGAAACTGTTGTCCACATTTGTGAGACAGGTGAGAACATAGCCAAGTTCCATCATGTCACCAGAAGTATTACATTGAGCGGAGGCTGACACAGCTATAATTAACAAAGCTCTAATTAACATGATGACATAATAGACTGGACTCTACCAAAAGCTTACCACCTATCTGAAGCTGATAATGTTTATTGAACAGTTGCAGTTCATGTGCTAGAAACAATGTGACTAAATTGTGTTTACCTATAACGAGGTGAAATGATGTCCTGTTGAATCAGAAAATCCTATCATAGTATTAAAAAACAACTTTTTTTTTTTTTAATGTCTGTTGATCAATAGTAATCTTATCATGAAGCAAAACAAGCATTAGTCAATTGTTGCTACTACTCAATGAATACAAAAAGCTATATGAATTATAAATTGTTGCCTTTTCTTATTGTCATTATTGACTAGCTTGGATGTTTCTCTGCTAAGCACATTCAACATAAGGAACTCCAGTTCTTGGTGGCTAACTTTTCCTATGCAAACTAAACAAGTGTAGGTATGTAACATTGGGATTCATTCATCTTTGACCTAGGTCTTCAGGTGAAATGTGTCTTCCTGCAGAAGTCTCTATCATCAGGAGGTCTACACAAATAACTTGGATTTGAAGTCTGTCATTAAAGTTAGATTATGTCAATCAAAAAGCCATAGGCAAAGGGGCATCTAAAATTTAGGTACAGAAATGCATTTAGAGATCGGAGAAATGTCATAAATGAGAAAATCCAGATATCACAACGCTTTAAGAGCAGGAAAAACTACATGCAGAACACTGACAGAAAAGGATAGGGAAAAATAACAAAGAGTTAGAAGGGACTCCAGATGCCAACTATTTATTTTATATTATTATTTTAGAATTGAAAAGCTCTGTAATACAATACCAGGGAAGAATGTCAAATGTCCTGAAGCAGGCTGTGATTCTTTGAAGTTAAGTCCAAAAAAACCATGGCATTGTATATTTGCTTGTCTCCTCTTTACTGACATTTCTTTATTTAAGCAAGAAGAAACCAAAGAGCCAAGTGAATGTATGACTGAGTCCACTAAGCAAGAAGACACACAGTATCTCTTCCTGTAAACACAACGAGCCTCAGTCTGATCTCACTAAGTTCCTGTGGAGATGATCCTTTTTTTTTTTTTTTTTTTTAAAGAGGAATCACTAACAGAAAAACCTTCCTCATTTGCCTAGACTTAGATATGTTACTCATCAAGTGCTACTACTTGAACCCAGGAAAGCTGGCTTCTGTTTGTCATATCTGATTTCAGTGGAACAAAGATTGAGGGCCTGTTAGGCAGGACTCAAATCTTAGACTTCTTGTAGGTTTTGTGGAAAATGACAGAACTAGAATTGCCTGCAGCTGTCTGAAAGATGGATAAATTTAAAATACAGATATTTAACTGTTTCTTTGCTTGTTTGTTTGCTTGTTTTCCCCATAAAAACATGTAGCGATGTTAGAGCAAGCTGATGCTTAGAGCAAGTAAAAGTACTTATAAACTCATGTGCAACTCTGAGATTTGGACTTGGTAACCTTTAGAAATTAAATTATTCTTTCTTCACTTCCTCTGTTTTGCTTATGGAATGATCAGGGTGTCATGCTTTGATGGAGATGTCATCTTGCTGTGTGAGCACAAGAAAGAGCAAGGTATTGGCTAGAGTAAATGGTGGAGTTATGATCACAGCAAGGGGTTTTGTTTTGTTCAACCAGCCAGGGGACCGAGCCAGCCAAAGATGAGCACATCAGATTTGCATCCTTTTGTGTTTTGCTGCTGGATGTGTACTTGTCTGTTGCAATGTTCTGGATGCACTTCATCTGTAACCTGGTACAGATTAATGTCTTGGTTTGTGTCCTTATATACAGCTTTCCATTTCCAGAACTGGCTGAAAGACCCAGGGCATGTAACGTTCTAGTAGTAACCGAATGGACTCTTGTTATTTCCTTTATGCTGTCAGTGATATTATTGTTATTTCCATATTGAGGACTTCACCACCACTATCTAGAAAGAGCTGTAGGTAACAGTCTGAGATTCAAGTGTGACAGGTACAGAGGTATGGCTACTGTCTGCAAAACTGTGCCGCCACTGTGCAACTGGAGGCACGTGCAGCATCATTTAAGCTTCCATAAACCTTGTCCAATGCATTAGCATGAGAAGATACATGTGTGAACTCAGTGAATTTCTATCTGACCTACATGAATCATTTGCCATTACACAGAGAGTGGCTGCCAGGCATGAACAGAGATGAAAGTATTTCTAAGATGGGAAGCTCCTGCTTCCTGCTGTTATCAGAGCACAGGGGAAGTGCCCAGAGCTCCCCATGAAGGCATGTTTGTGACCTTTATTCTCTCTAATGGAATCACTCTTCAGGAACCAGCTCCTCTGTGGGAGACTAGTGGTACAATGTTGAACTGATGAAAGGGATAGACACATCAAAGGTGAAAGATGTAAGGAAACACAGTAGTGCCTCTGGTCAACTGAGGTGAGAGCAAGGGAGCAAGACTTGCAGGGGTTGGAAAGGTGAGGGACATGAACTGGGAGATAGATGGAAGGAAGGCTGGAGGTTCAAGTGGGACCTTGAATGACTAAATTGTGTCGATGAGACAGAAAAAGCAAAAATGTGCTAAAAACTTATAGAAGTAGCTCTGGAACTAAATATAGACTGTTCCTTGCCATGAGAAGTCAGCTTCTTAATCTGATCTATATGATATATTTTGGGAAAATTAAGTCAAGTTGTAACCAGATGTGGTAGTTATTTTATCTGCATTTACTGAAATTGTTTTGGAAGAATAAATCTAAATATTGTCACGATCCTGTTTTTTTAATTTTCTTTTCAAAATATCATCTCTGAAATTGAGCAGACAATGAAAATAAATCGTAAAGGCCTAGCTGAAGCCAGTCTGTTCAGCAAGAGATTTGCATGACTGATGTTCTCTCCAGATAGACAAAGCATCTTTTGATGGAAGCCAGGCAAAGCAGACCACAGTATTCAAAACAAGTTACATGGCTGCATGTTCACAATGCCATTGTTTTCAGATCTCATTATTAGAAAAAAAAAGTCAAAAGCTTCTTTGATAAAGTCTATTTTCAAGGCTTTGTTGTTGTTGTTGTTGTTGTTGTTGTTGTTATTATTATAGAGCTTAAGTTTACAGCTTGTGTTTTTATCTTCTGTGTCTTGATACTCTTATGTGTTTCTTAAAGCCCTGGTTGTCCATGTCAATTGCATACATAAGAATTCCATTATTTTTTAAAATTACTTTCTGATTAAAAAAGAAAAGCAAGGAAATGGACCCAGAGTGTATCCTAAAGATATAGAAGACAAACGAAAATAAGGCAGGAAACAGGAAACAGTTTTTAAAATCCCATGATTCAAAGCCTTTTTTCATCGAGCAACTTGATAAACTGCTGCAAGCAGGTGTTTTTTTTTTTTTTTTTTTGGTGTCTTGTTTGCCCTTTGGGTCTGTATGCCTAGCTTTCTCAGATGGACAGAAAGGCCCTGAAGGTGCTGGTGGGATAACACGTTCCTGGGTTTCTGTCTGATATAAAGTCAAGATAAAGGCAGGAGTGCTCAGAAGCTCTTCCAAATTCATTAACTTAGAGGTTAAACAGACATTCCTAGTGAGGCATCTGTACTCCTGACCCAACCTCAGACCAGCATAACTTGGGATTTGAGTGAGAAAAGTGCAGTCCATCCACCACTTCTCATCCAAACAGTGGCATATTTGTTCGTGTCTTCAGTTGCTATGTCTTCTCCAAGTACTGCAAGCACCATTTTCTCTGGTGACTGTGGTAGAGGGGCGTTTTGGGCATCTCTAGGAATGGGGACCTCCTACACACTAGAGCTGGTTTTGATGTCATTCCCTGATCCTGCTGGAAATGTGTGTAAAGTAAAAGATGTCACTGCAAGGACTGTAGCCTCTACTGTCACCAGCCTGTTAAGTGAACTGAAAGTGGCTGAGACTTTCCCAGTTTGCCATTTACAGCACACTGAAGATGGAGCTATGTCCTTCCCTTCACCATGCTGCTGGACAGAAGGATGCTGTAGTCTGACTGCATATGAGAGGCTGAGACCAGCTCCAGTGAGATGCTGTTTGCAATTCTCTCTCCCACCCTACTGCACTTCCCATCACCTGGATGCTGGGTCTTTCTTTGTAGGATGATACTTGAAATTTTGACCTACCAGTGTTTGAGGAACTGGAGGCAGTGGTTTCACGGACAAGGTTGTGCAACACAGAGTCACATCTGAAAGAGAGGGATTAAAAACATACCATGAATTAAGTAAGGATGTGTTTCTTGAGGCTTTCTCACTTGCAGTTCTATACAGTGGCAGTGACAGCATAGCAAACATAAATATTTGTGACAGCTGACATTTTACCTCACTGTGGTATAGACCTGTTTATCTCTGCATTTCCCAACCTTCTCTTAATTCAAGCACCATATCAATATATTTTAAAAGTCCATCAATCACTGCCTTCATCTATGCCAAAATAAAGGTTCAGGGAAATTTGAGGTTGTATTTTTCTCTTTAGTTTTCCCGATTGTTTTAGATTATTAGATTGCATACTAAGGGAAACTGAGAACTTATTTTTATTCCTTTTTTTTTTTTTTTTTTTTTTAATAGTTTTATGGACACTTATGCTCTATGGAGCGTCAGTTAAGAAATACTGTTTTCAATTACCCAGTGGCTACGAGACTGAGGCTGTCTGGAGTCTTCCCTATGCAGGCTGTGTCCCTGTGCTCCATGTATCTCCACTAGCAACCTCAGGAACTTATTTAGGAACAAATGTAGAGTAGACAAAGCACAATATCTTGCATGTATGCATTATTATATCAGGCAGAAATGAAGCATTCAAAATACCAAATTTCTCTTTGCAGTTCTTCTTTTGGCTAAGTCATCCATGGCTGACAATGAGATATTTCCTTGCCCTTGCAGATGACCAGGGGTTTCACAGACTTAGTGGCTTATGTTGTGAAGCCATATGAAGCTATTCAAATTAGTGTTACAAAACAGTTGACAACTCTCTATATTATTCAGTGTTCTATAATCATGAAACCTGTATTAATAGCAGATAAGCCTAGGTCATTCATTTCAGTTATCAAAAGCAAATGCTTCATTGTTATGTGTCACAGATATAAATCAGGCCCCAACTACTCACACCTACTTTTCATATTTTGTCTTTGAATTTGGGGTCTTAGATTTTTGACTGTGACCGTAAAATGCTCAAGAGCAAATTTCAATCATGATTGAAATTAACATCTCTGTCAGTGCTCTACACTTCTTGATAAACAAGCTTTAAAAGGCAGAAACCCAGATACTCTTAATCTGCTATTCCCTTTCCTTAATGTGGGATATCTTAAGTGTGTACAGAGACATAAGGGAATTCCCTTCTGAAAACGTGAAAACTGAGAGTACCATTTTACAGATTTTCCTCTCTCAGTCTTTATAGATTGAAAAATAAGAAATCCAACTAAGTTCAACAAAAATGCATATGAAAAGCATGTTAAAAGAAAAAAATATATATGTTGCAAATTAAATCACATTGTTTAGAAAAATATTCATTATATATGTACATAATTGTGTATTAATATAATAGTTTTATTTTTGTTCAGTTATGAAGCTGGATTATTTTACACTCATTCATACACACTCTTGTGCTGAACTTCTCTTGTTCCTACCTGTCCAGCTATTGGGATCTCATCACTAAAAAGGTCTTAGAGCACAATGCCACAATTTAGCTAGAGTTCTTAAGCATATTTTTTCTATATTCATATTTCTTCATATTCTTAATACTTCTCTAAAGAGAAAAATATTTCAAAAATGTCACTGTCCTTTTAGCTCAAACTCAACAGGTATCATTTTGGGGTATTATTCTCCTCAACTATATTATAAGGTACAATGTATAGGAGCTATGATGTTAGAAGGAGCTTAGCACATACATAGAAAGGTATTAGTAGATCAAGTTGTATATTTATTACACTGTCCATGTGGATTTGGTAATATTGTGAAAAGCATCACTGAGACTAAGCAAATAAAAGTGAAAGAAGATATTACATTTCTCCCAAACTGTACATCCAGGGGCCGCTTTACACGTCTGGTTGCAACAGAGAAACCTCCCATTGGTGAAGAATCTTCTATGATACTTGCTTAGTAAATCGTTATTGTCTTTAATTTCTAGGGAAAAAAAATGAAAAAAGAAAAGAACATGAAAGACTGCATAACTGGAATGTTCCTTGTGATTAATATAGTCGCTGCAATAAACTGCGGAACCCCAGATAGTTTATTGACTCCTAGCTCTAGACAAATATCTTGGTAACATTTTGTCTATATTTTATTTCTCTGTACAAACCAAGTCTGAATTCCATACCCAACAGTTACCTCTTTCTTGAGAAAGAAAACTGTGTGTCAAGAATGACACAGTACAGTCCTATCAATCAAGAAATGAAGAAGTGGAATCTAACAGTTATGATTTAAAATCATGTATGTTATAAAGATTTCACAAGCAATAGTGAAACTAATTGAAAAAAAAATATTTTTATATATCAAAATATGCTGAATATTTTCCTAGAACTATATATTGCAAGAAAATGATAATAATGCATACTCAATATCAGAACAGATACCTAATACCTCATATGGAAAATCCAAACTAATGTTTGTCTACTAGAATAAATTTGTTATTTAAGCATAGCAAAGAGGAACACTATCACAGACACATTTTGTACTCAAAGCACTGCTTTGAGTGGTCCCAGTACTATTACTGTGCTAGTGATATATTAGTTCTGCAAACCATAATAGCACTTTTGGATTCACAAAGTACCTAAAAGAAATGTAGGATGCGTAGTGAGAGACTTTAAAAGCTGACTCCTTCAGAACAGGATTTCAGACCTTCTGAGATGACCCATTATAATCCCAAGACTCCTGAACATGCAAGAGACTGCCAAAAGGATCAGTGCACCCCTTGGCGACCAGTACTTTTATACACTTTTTAAGAGGCTTGTAGGCAGCTAGAATATTTGCGCTATTGTTTACCTGATTACCATTACAAACTATATCATTAATGCAATCTTTTTATTCACGAATGTAATTTTGCAGTATACCAAATCTTTCCTTAATGATTTCATAACTATATCTTTCTTTCTAAAAGATCCAATGTAGTTAATCTTTCCTATTCTGCTCCTGGTCAACATTCTCCATAACCCTGCTAAAGTAATTGACATACTCTTACTCTGTATGTGAAAACAGTCACAAACAGAGAGGTATCTCATACACAGGTTTAGAAGTAAAATTGCAGAGGATATTTATTCACAGCCAACTATAGATTGTCTACTGTTTCCACAATGACCAGCATGTGTGAGAGTTGCCCTATTCAATGTGAGTTTTTTTTCCTCCACTGAAGAATAGTTTTTCTGCCTAAAATTCAGTATTTACATATCTATGAATTTGCTTCATTGAAAAAAAAAAAAAAACAGAAAATTCATTGGAAAAAGAAAAAGGGGGGGGTGGGTGGGGGTGGGGGTGGGGAGAGAGAGAGGGGGAAATAGGGACAAAAGCTAGCAGTATCGGTTACCAAAGTAGCTTTTTGAAGGTAAGTGCTACACTAGCTGAACCATAAATTATTGTTCTCTATTAACTTGCATTGGTAAAGGCTGAACATATGACCAAGATTAGAAAATGCTTATGAAAAATAAGTTTTATTTTGGTTTATTTTTCACTGCATTTTTCATCCTTTACATTTTCTAATTCATTTCAACCAGTCAGAGATGAAGTATGAGTGAGACTAAAAGCAAGTGACAAAGAATGGCACAAAACGAGGGAGCAGGAGCATTTTCCTATCCCCCCTCAAGTTATTTGAATACATTGAAAGACAAAGGTCTAGTGTTACCTTTATGCAAAGCTGCAAGCCACTGCTTCCGTCTCTCTTCATTATCTGCATAGACATAAAGTAGGCCACCTTTGTACACAATCTGGAAGAGGTTGAGACAGACAGCATGGTGAGAATGTGCTGCCTAAAAGTTTCATACCAAAGCTTGGGAATTAGAAAAAAATAGGCTTTGCAGACCTACTGACATCAAACTCCTATAATTTAGTAATGTTTTGCCAAGGTCACCTGTAAGCACTGCCATCTTATATAAGGTGCCTATAACAAGCCTTGCATATAGTACCTTAACCACAGTGGTTTGTGTCTGAAAGAACAGTTGCAGAAACAAAGGACAGCATAGAATATTTCTAGATATAACTGTCTTCTGGGTACAAAAGACCTTATAGACCACACGTAAACTCATCCTTTCCATTCCATTTTTTTCCAGATGCATCTTCCAGCTTTTTGCTGTTGTTATGCAGGCCACAACACATCTCCAACAGTGTTCAGTAACAAATATTGAGGCAGAGTGTAAGCTCAGGGGAGCTGTACTGTGACCAGGCAATTCTGATCCAAAGGTGATGCATTCTTACCTCATCACCTTGGATAGATATTTTTCTGCAAATTAGTTCAGCTGCCTTTTAAAGCAAGAAACTAGTATCTACAACATCCTGCAGTCAGTAGTCCTACGGCTTAGCTAAATTAAACATTGTGAACAAGCTTCTTTTTCTTGTTTTCAACCAATCTTCTGCAAGCTTCATTTGATGCCTACCTAATAATTACTAACATCTGCTTTGCTTTTTGGATCATGCTTAATACTGGGCTGACTCTGTGTGTGTGTTAAGTCAGGGTTTCGTTTCCCTTGTGTACATTGCTTTTCAGTCATCTGCAATGAATTTCAAGTATCACTTTATTGCCTTGTTTGTTACACTGAAGAGCCCTTGTTATTAAATGTGTACTCCCACTGGTATGCATACGTGACTGATCAATCTGCTTCCCATCTCTTTATTTAGTCAAATGGTGGAGCTCTGAGAGCTTTTCTCTTTAAGGCATGTTATCCAATCTATTAGGTACTCTCAAGTCTCTCCTCTGACCTCTCTTCAGTTTACAACATCTTTCTTGAATTATAGCCACCAGAACTAGAGGCAATATTCTCCTGCTGATCACAGTAGTGTCAAAACAAACACAGCCTTCCTGATTTTACTGAATGTGTGCCTGCTTCCATGTCCAAGGATGCCATTAGCTCCTTTGGCCATAGCATCACACTGGAATTGATGGGAATCAGCTATCATTATCCTAAAGCCCTTTTTAGAGGTACTGTTTCCCAGAACACAGTCCCCCTTCATGGGACTGCAGCAAACATTCTTTTTTTCCACTTAACTGAGTTATGAACTCCTGAGATAAACACAACTATTTAACATAAACATGCCATTCAATGCCACAAAGCTGGGGAGGGAGAAGGGAAAGGAAGACAGGAATGACACCTAGGATTAGTCAGGTGGTGAAATACTAAACATTTCTCATAAGGTTGCCCTCGGCCATGGCAATTATTACAGGGTCATGGATTAACACGCTGTTCAGCAGCTGTTAGTCACTTCCTTGAGCAGCCCGTGCTGTTTGGAGGTAGCATTCCAAGGGGGATCTATGACCTGCATGCCCCACTGTTCATAGAATTGGAATTGATGGAGGCTCAGGGAGGAACCTGAGCTGGGGAACTGAAAAAGATGAAAGGCAGAAAATTTGAAGTTATGTTTCTTTCATCCCATTTAATTCCTGAACATGTGTTGTGCATTGTGCAGCTGTATGCATAGCCTTGGTTTCCCTGACTGTGGCACATTTGAATGGTAATCGGGCAATCTGGGGTCAAATTCTGAACTTGGTATTGAGGAAAAAAAAAAAAAAAAAAAAGAAAAAAAAATGAAAAAAAAAGAAATAAAACTGGAAAGAAACACTGAGAATTTAAATAAGGATTTTTAAGTGTTTAATTCTGCGTTTAAAAAGTGATAATCACATAAGCATACTAATCTATATATTTCAGACCCTATTAAAGCAAATATCTGATAGAAATTTAAACATAAAGGAATCAAAACTTGATATAAATTTTATCCCAGTCAGGTAAAAACATTTTAGCAAAGTCACAGCATCAGTTATAGGGACTGATTTTCTACTTTTTGCAAATATCTGTAACACTTAGCAATAGCAGGTATCAGCACTTGAGACAGGAATGATCAGTGTAACTCTAGAATTACTGATGAAATGTGCATTAACAGATTTTGTGACTAACCTGAAAAGGATATTGTCTTGCAACGGGTGTTAATTCCTCAAGATTCACTGTCTCAACACATCGGATTTTCTCAATCTCTATAGACCCCTTTTTTCTTCCTCTTTTCTAAGAGATAAAACAAACAAACAAACAAACAGATTGTTGTTAACACAGTATGGACTATTCCAGTTTGACTATTCTGTACAATTTCATGTTTCAAGTTTGATAAGCCATTGCTTTGTGTTAAAGTTTAAAAGAAAGGTATTAAAAAACAACAACCCTCCCCAGTGCCCTATCCACATCCAATTTATCCATCAAATGTCTTTTTAAGTCAGTTGCAAGAGCTACAGGACACAGCCCTATATCTGAGAAAACATCTGATGCAGCTGTAGGCGGGGAGAGGAGGAAAAGAAGAAGGAGGAATTAAGAGGGGAAAAAACAACAACACCTTAAGTACAAAACAGAAGCCCATCTGCAGCATTCATATTGAGGTGGAGCTTGTTCACACTGAGCTTCCACGCAGGGTCCTAATGGAATGTAACTCACAGGAGGGGTCCAAAGGAGCAAAAACTTTGAAATAAGTTGCCTGGGACCTATATTTGCATTCCCAATAGGAGATCTTCTGAGTGAAAAGCTACCCTTGTGTGACGCACAGTCAGTCTTTAGAAAATGATGGCTTAGCCATCTGCTTTGTGCAGTTGAAGAATAAGATTGTGAACTAATTATGCCTCATACAAGTAATTTTTGAAGCCAGTTATTTACGTCAGTTCAGAGGGAGGCCTGAACAAGGAAAACATCCCTATTCAAGACAATGTGTAAACATATGCCACTGTTAATTACTTGCTTAAGTTTTGTTGTCTTTGGAAGGACACAAACAGATGCTCAATGGCAAGCATAACTGTAAGAGGTGTTGTGAACAGAGACACCATTAAGCCTGCGGCTAAGTGCTTTCCCAAAATGAAAATAAAATTTGATACTCCGTAATTTTTTTATCTACTCAAAACAAAGTACACCTGTTGTTCTAATTCATAACATCTCATCAAGTTTCACAGAAGAAAACCAGAAGAATGAGGTGGTACCAGAATATCTCAGAACAGTTAACTTTAGAAAATGAGTTTTTACCTCTTTGTCATATTCATAATATGAAAGGCTTGCTTTTGTCAGAACAAACAACCTTTTCTTATAATTAACTGGTGATATTTTTTTCTTCTGTTGTGACTTCTTCAGAAGAAGTTCTTCTAGAATTGTTGTATTCTCCATTTTGTTTCCCTAAAAGAATACCACAATAACTTTTATTATTATCGTTAACAAACATAACAACACCAACTATAAAAACTGTAATCACGAATATATTGAGTCATTGTCTTCTGTATGTTTTGAAATTTCATGGCTCTTTTTTATTTTATTTTATTTATTTTTTTCTTTTAATTTTATGAAATACATGGTTACAAATTGTGCATTTAATATTGCATGAGCAAATGAGGTTGATTAACTTATTCATTCAGGGAAAAAGATTACATTACAGGAAAATTAAGATACAGATCTATTGTAGTTCTAAACAAGACACCTCTGTGACTTTACTGTCTGAGTATCTCTTCTTTCAAAGCCATGCACACTTTCTGGCAAAGAGCACAGTCTAATTTATGCACAAATGTATTACATCTGCAGCATAATACGGAAATCATTACAGCAACAAAGAGAACAACAACAAAATAGAAAACTCTATTTTAGAGTTTAGACTAGAAAAACAGACCTAGTGTTAACAAGTGTGTTCCCTGAACTGGAAATTTCCCATTTTTCTTTCAACTGAAACAAATACACATTTATGGAACAATGACATGTATAGAAGATCAAAAAGTAAAAATGTTCTTGCACCACATATAAATACATATATCAATGTATTTTTCTCTTAGCCCTGATAATCATACAGTAGCAAATGCTAAGAAGAATGAGGTCCACAATATTTCTACAAGTTTAGTATGGATTCAGCTTATCTTACCCAGATGTAAAGAGAGAATGTCCTTTGCCCTGTGTGTTCTGGAGCTCAAAAGGAAAGTGTTCTGCTAAGCTACGCACTTTGCTATGTTCCTGTTCACCACAGAGAGACCAGCAGAAAGAGAATATTTGCATGATATTCATCACACCCACATGATATTTCCAGTGAATCCTAACTGAGCCCAGAAAGCAACGTGTATCTAGCAGGAGTGTTCTGAGGAGGAAAAGGGGAGCTTCACTAGACATTGCTCTGTATATCTGGCTACCCCCCTGTGGGGAGGAGGACTAGAAACACCTTCATCAACTCCCTTTTGGATGGGCTAATGCATGTTAGTGCTACTGGTAGGTCAGTTTAATGACAATCTTGCCATGATGTGTGACATCGGAAGGAGATATGAGCTGGGGTAGATAAAGGAGGAGTTGGGGCTGAAATCTTTCTATTGAAAAGATCTGATAGAAATGTCTGCTCTGACGTAGGTGAGAGGGAGGAGAGCATCCACCCCACTTTAGGGATTTTGTCAGTGTTAAAGTGTAGGCACTTATCCTGACTGAAAGACTAAATAGTTCAAAGTTAGAAGTTAGTTCAACATAGCTTAGACAAGCTCTTTGCAATGAAAATATTAGGTTTGATAGAAGACTTAAAAATCTTGTAATTCCTACTGTGGGGTAGTAATAACTCCTGCTTTTTGTAACACTATGTTGGTCATCTTTCCTTATGCTGGGAAACGTTGGTCATGTTTCCTTGTGCTGGGAAATATCTAATATTCAAGTCTGACCCACAGAAGTTCATGGAAGTCACAGGGAGCCACAGGATACTGGAGGCCACAAAACAGTGAAATGCAATTTCAGCTACTTTCTTTTAAAGCTCTATTTGCAGATTATCTTTTCTGGAATTGCTGTTGTGTGGTCTTTACAACATTTGTTAGGTAATTGCTGCTTGAATTAATCTGAACAATTTCCTGAACGATGAGGACTGATAACATTGCTTATGTAAGGCAAGTCCAATCCAGCTTGGCTCTAACACTATGACCACTGAAAGCCCCAAGATTATCACCTGAAACTATACAGGGTAACTGTAGCCACATGGAGTGACTTGCTGTGGCTTAGAAAAAAACCCTAAGTACCTATATTGCTATGAAACACTAACAAAACTACCTCTGGTTTTGAAAAAGCTGTCTCATATCTGCACACCAAGAAATGAGAAGAAGCAAAAGGATTTATCATATGTAATTTGGTTTAAATATTAGAAGTTTATGTTCAGTAAACTGTACCTTGCTATACTTATTTGTAAGCAATGTTAAAAATAATGTATTAAATATATAAAATATAATAAATAAATAGTAAACAGAGATTGATTAAACAAAAATATTTACAATAGTTATATTTTTGTTTTGTTGATATGGGAAAAAGCACCCTTATTTCTGTAGTAATTAGCTGAAAACAACAGCCTGTTAAATTTAAGAATTCAGTAGCTCTGTATGTGTCCCCGTAGTCAATGGATCACCTAGTAATCCAATACCATGAATTCCACTTTGCTGTCTGTGGACCTGTAGCAAGTCCATAACATAGTTCTAAGAATGCAATTAAAGTTTAAAGGTATATGTTGAACAAAACACCTGTAAGACCTGAAAAAGTTATTATATCCCTTGGTTTGTCTAAACAATAACAGTGTGTATTCAGCCTTACATTGCAGTATATGGAAGGCATTTCCTTATTGGAGTGCATTGGCTCATTTAAAATAATAATAATAATAATAACAACAACAACAACAACAACAATAATATATATATAGATTTCCAGATTCTGACTTCTCATTATAATTTGAAATAGAAAACAATTTCAAGCTCTAAACAGAAAGTCTTGGCAGCTATACAACTTCCTGCCCAGATTCACTGCACAATGCTCTTCTTTATGTTCACAGAAGACAAATTGCAATAGCTAAAATTATGCCAAATTAAACATTCAATATTTTTTTTTTAAAACAAGAGTATGGCTGGAGAAATAAAATTTGTTTATGTTGTGCTGCCTTTTCCTTTTCCAGGCTGCCCCTCTTCTGTGAACAGACTCTTTTGTGCTGAGTTAGAACTCACTTGCACTAACCACCCTGTCATGCTGAAGGAGGATGCTTCAGTGCAGAAAGTGCCCAGAGGGGTCAGTGCTGTGTACAAACGTCTGCTTACCTGGAGAGCTGCAAGGTGTGGCATCCTCCTGCTTTGGTGGATGGAGCTCATATCCTCCAACTGTGAAATCTGATTTCACTGTGGAAAAAAGATAAAAAGCTATATGGAATTAGATGTAAAGTTTTGTTCTCTATGTTTTGAAGAGATGGATTTGGGGATCCTTGTGTGTGTGTTTTTTGTTTGTTTGTTTGTTTGTTTTTCTCCATGCTGAAATTTGTGGTTTAAGTTCAAGATAGTTGCATTTGCACATGAGGGCACTTGCCTTTTCTGTGCTTTACATTGTGACAAAGATAATAGGTTTGTTCCACCAAAGTATTTTTAATCTTAGAAGCAACACTCTCTCAGAAAGAAGACTGCTGTCTTGAGACATTATAAGACGTTATAAGAACTGGACTCAGCAACGATCAAGCAAAAGGGGCCAGGATATACTGGAGTGATGTCCTCTAGCATTTTTTTTTTCTGTTTCCTTTCCTGGTGAAGTGTTTTGGAAGTGGTGGTCACTGACAGGCATTTTCTAATGGTAGGCTTTAATGCAGTATGCAAGCCACAGAGTACTCAGGCTCATCCATTGCTGCTGCTTTTTCCCTCTTGGTATTCATTAACTTCAGAAGAGATGAGTGAACAGATGGAAAACTAAGAGGCAAAGGAATAGCAATTGTGACAGGACAAGTTTGGAGAAAAAAATGGCTAAGCTACGTTGGCTGGGGAAACAGGCATGTTGGAAGTGTGGTTCCTGGCTCAGAAATGATGGCAAAGTGGAGTTCCTGACTCCCAGCCAAGAAAAAATGTGTCCTTTTCCCTGGATGAAGTAAGCAGACTTACTTAAAAGCTTAATAGTCAAGTAATTCTGTGTTTTTCCTAGGTTCTGGTTTCCAATCTTCTCTGACAGAATAAGACAGAAAACTGGCACAGGCTGCCCAGAGAGGCTGTGGGGTCTCCTCATGGGAGATCTCCAAGAGCCTCCTGGACATGCAGCCAGCTCTGGGTGTCCCTGCTTGGGCAGGGCTTGGAGCAGGTGATCCCAGAGGGCCCTGCCAGCCTCAGCCTTGCTGTGAGTCTGTGATTCTGTGAACAAGAACAGCCACTGCATGGGGTGCTGGGTCACTAAGGAACCTGGTGTCTGCACATGATGAGCTCTTGTGCAGCCACTCCTCATCCCCACCATGGGGCAGCAGGCTTTGCAGGTTTACTACACAAAAGGTGGAAAAGCATGACTCCACTTCATAGAAATACCGGACCTTTTGCAGGTGTTCTGTCCTGCAGGTTCAGAGGGAGTCCTTTCCTTCATTTCAAGTTAACTACTTCAGCTCAGTAAGCTGTTCATTCAAAGCGAGCAAGTAAACAACCAAGGGCTTGGAATAATATAAAATTTATTCCCTTCTTCCAAATAAAGTAGATGTAAAGGACTAAAACTACTAATTCTAAAACTTTAAAGAGCTGGGAAGACATACAAAAACAATCATCTCTAGTTAGTTATGAATTGTGTCAGCTTTGCTAGGGAAACATCAAGTTCTTATATTTGCATATTTCGATAAACTGAACTTTTTCTAATCCACCACACTTGGAATACATTTTAGTTAATTAAACTGGTTGAAAAACACTACCTTGGTGTTGACAACTTATGATTAAGGTGAGTCTAACACAAACAGTGAATAAAAAGCTGTCTGTAGTGAGACAAGCAATTTAGTTTTATTAAGATAAGAATGTAAACATAAAAACAGAACAGAATTCAATTAACACATGATGCTATTTAAATATAGATATTTAAGATACATCCTCTAGGCACTCATTTTAGCAAGTCATATTTAGGGTAAGGGATGGAGCTGTTTCCTTATCCTGGTGTAATGAAAACTGGTGAAGGAGACAACTGAAGTGCATATGGAAAATAGCCCCAAGTCTTAAGCTTTCCTGTCCTTAAATTTTAAAATTTAATTTAATATGGTGGTTTTATTATCCTTCATGTATTATTCACTTTTCAGTGAAAGTGAACTGTTTGGTCTTGTGTATTTTTCCTCACGTTACAGGACATGTAAAATATTTCCAATATTATATTTACTTTTCGTATGTTATGCAGCAGTCTAATTTCACTACATATAGCAAACATATCTGCCCTAACAAGGAGACCTCTTGTTCCCTGAATACTTTTGCTGCATAGTTGAAAATTACTGAGGATCAGAACAATTTGTATGCAGGATATACAAACAAAGCTACTTTTGGGGAGGTATGTCACAATTGTCCATTATTAAAATGGATATTGGTGGGCTACAGCTTCAAGTCCCTTATAATATTGTCACAGATGTATATTTAAACATATGCATTTCATTTATTTAGGTTATTTGTTTATATGTTAGGTTATTTGTTTATAACCTAACAGGTGACTTGTATTAAATATAATATATTCACAGATTCACAGTGTGGCTGAGGCTGGCAGGGCTCTCTGGGCTCACCTGCTCCAAGCCCTGCCCAAGCAGGGACACCCAGAGCAGGCTGCCCAGGACCATCTCCTGGTGGCTTTTGGAGATCTCCCCTGAGGAGACCCCACAGCCTCTCTGGGCAGCCTGTGCCAGGGCTTCTCACCCACACAGCACAGAAGTGCCGCCTGGTGCTTAGAGGGAACCTCCTGTGGGCCTGTTTGTCCTGGCACTGGGCAGCACTGAAAGGAGCCTGTGTTGTGGTTTCACCTGGCAGGCAGCTAAGCACCACACAGCTATTTGTTCTGTCCCTCCCACCACCAGTGGGATGAGGGAGAAAGTCAGGAAAAAAAAAAAAAAAGGTATAACTCATGGGCTGAGAAAAAGACAGCTTAGTAGGACAGAAAAGGAATGGAAAATAATGGTAATAATTATGATAAAGGAATACACAAAACAAGTGATGCAAAATGCAACTGCTCAGCACCCACTGACTGATGCACAGCCAGACCCTCGGGAGCTGCTGCCCCCCCGGCCAACTTCCCCCCAGTTTTATTGTTCAGCATGACACCATGTGGTATGGGATACCTCTTTGATCAATTTGGGCCAGCTGTTCTGGCTGTGTCCCCCCCAGCTCCTGGGGCAGCCTCAGCCTCCTCACTGGCAGGGCAGCGTGAGGAGCTGAAAAGTCCTTGGCTCTGTATAAGTGCTTCTCTGAAACAAATAAAGTATCAGTGTGTTATCAGCATTATTCTCATCCTAAATCCAAAACACAGCACCATACCAGTTACTAGGAAGAAAATTAACTCTATCCCAGCTGAAACCAGGACAGCCTGCCTTCATCCTGCACCCTCTCTTCAGGTGACTATAGACATAGATGAGATCCCCCCTGAGAATCCTCTTCTCCAGGTTGAACAGTCCCAGCTCTCTCCTCCTCTTTTCATAGGAAAGCTGCTACAGACCCTTCATCATTTTCACAGCCCTTTGCTGGACTCTCCAGTATGTCCATGTCTCTCTTGTACTGGATCCAGTACTGCAGAGTACTCAAGGCAAGGTTTTTTGGCCTGTAGTTCCCTGGGTCCTTCTTCCTGTCCCTCTTGAAGATAGGAGTGACATTTGCTTTCCTTCAGTTGTTGGGTGCTTCTCCCAGTCACCATCACTGATCAATTTTTTGAGAGTAGCCTCTCAAATGACATCAGCTAGCTCCCTCAGCGCTCATGGGTGTAGCCCATCAGGACCCATGGACTCTTGTGTGACCAGTTTGCTTCAGTAATTCCTGATCATCAAGGGTACATCTTCTTTACCCAATATTATTCCATAGGATGACAAATAGTGTTTTTAATTGTTCATATTATGATGCAGATGTCATACTTGAACTATACTTTGAGTAGGACCTCCTGAAGGTCCCTTTCAAACTGGAGTATTCTGTGTCTGGTTTTGATTGTTGCTCATATTATGCAAACAGTACATCTCGCAGGAATAGGTGCAAAGTTCTCATAAACCTTGTGCACTGGTCACACACACCAGTGTGTGCACAGGTGCTTTGCAGATTTCAGAGCACAATTGGCATAAAGCTGTAGCTGAGGGCAAGACGTGGTTTACAGAACCTTTGCTAGCATTGTGTCCCTTAAAGAAAGTCCTCTAGTAGATTAGTATGAATGCTACTTTATTGTTTAGGTGAGCTTGCTCTGTAAGTACGCATGGAGTTAGTATATGCAAAGAGGATAGTTTTTTAGCCCAACAACATGTCTGTAGATAGCTGAGGCTTAGTAGTGATCACTTACCTAGACAAATAACACTAAAAATGTAAATTTTATACATTTGTAATAAACGTATCAAGTATAAAATAATACAGATTATAGTTTATTTTTGCCAAGCAATCAAAAAGTGTCAGTCAGGTTCCAAATGACTGTGAGATTTAAAAAAAGGTATTTTGTAAGTCTTTTTTAGGCAATGGTGGTGGTTCACCTCCTCCTCACTTTTTTTTTTTTTACCACAAGCTTGAAAGCTAGTTTTATCTTCAGTCAGAAGTGATTATTTTCACATGTATGCTTTATTTCAGTAGCTGAAGACTTAAGCAAATAGCTTGGCATTGTTTGTTCTACATAGTTCTTAAATAAGGTGTTTATGATAGGCCCATATACATGTGTAGCCACCAGCACTGGTTCTGCACCAAAATCAAAGAATGAAACTGTGCACTACCAAGAATAATAGCAAGTCAAGTAGGGACTATTTGTACAAATAAGAGACACATTTTTTAAGTCTGTGGGATTTCTGGGATGAGGGTGCTAAGAGAACCTGCTCTGTCATTGCAAAGCCACTCTATCAACTTTGAGAGGTCACAGAGATCAGAGGAAGGTCCCAGACAACAGGAAAAAGACAAGTTTTATCTGTGTCTATAAAAAGAAACAGGAAGCTGTAGACCAGTCAGCAGACACTGTAAAAAAATGTCACGTCCTCACAGAGACTATTTGCTTACATGTGAATAACTAACCTTACTGCCTCCTGTGGTAGAGTTTTAGTGGAAGCAAGGGGCCCTTTGGGTGGAGGCAGCCCTTTGGGTGAAGGCATCAACCTTTGGGTGCCAAAACTTGATGCATAGCAAGGTGTTTGACACAGTGCTTCCCAACAGCCTTGCTGATGATCTGGTAAGATATGGACAGGGTAGATGGACAACAAATTTGGTAGGAAGAGGGTTCAATAGAGTGCAAAGGGCTCAAAGTTGAACTTATAGAGCTGGTCACATGTAG